ATGTGGGCAACACAAACAACGCCTACACAGCTATATTAAAATCTAGATATAAACAAAACAAAAAGAAAGTAATGTAAACTCGCTGCGCTACAACCATGTAATTATTGTTATTTAATGTGAATAATTGTAAAGTGGGAGTTTCAATTTCTGATGTGTATGTTATGATAATTGTTAACCATGTTTATTGTTTATCGTTCAAATAAAGCAGACTCCTTGAGGAAGGCGCGAAATGCGTTGAAACGCGTAGGAGTAAAAAAGGAAAATTTTATTTTCGCTTTAATTCCAACGGCCGAAGTAGCTCATACCCAGCACACAAAATTGCAAGGAATTTGGCCCTGTGAAAATAAGTAAATCAGTTTTCGTTGTGTTTAGTTTTTATGAAACTAAACGGGTTCACGTGTTAATCAATTTATTCATCGGCGCAACGCTTGAGCAAGATTTGGATGCACGTTCGCACCGATGATTAATTTAATGAAAAGAAATTTAAATCTTGGTATTAGTATAACTAAAAATAATAGTGTTTATTCACTTAAGTAATTTGTGTGTATATATATATATATATATATGTACATATATTTGAATTGCAGATTACCTTGAAATACAAAAGCTGAGCTTGGTGACTGGATGACATCCTCTTCTTCGGATACTCGCAAAAGAAGTAAGTAAACCGTTCTTGATTTTAGTTACGGTTGCTTGTCGAACTGTTTATTTGACGAAAGTTTGATTATTGCAGATTTAACAGAGTAGTTAACAGCTCGACAGCAACCATAATAAGTAAGTTATGTTATACATTAGGGTGGGTCGAAAAATGTGTAGCAAATTTAGGCCGCTGGCCTAAACATGCCGGCCCCGCTTGCGACACGCAATGTTTTCCAGCCCGTCCAACCACCATGCTCCGTTTATCTACTTATGTAACTAACTAATCGTCATCCTCTGGTTCTGGTCTCCGACGACGGTACCTATATGTCGATCAAAAACAAGAAAAGTTCAAGAAATAAACGTGGTTTAAAATTTCACTCGCACTTTTTTATTCATTCATGGTATTCATTGTGTGTTAATATGTTTTGAGTAAGTATTTACAAGGAAAAAATCAATAATTGGTAAGAACAAATTATGGTTAACAGGCGCCAGAGAGCACCCATCCGAAGATGGTATTCTGTGCTAAGAGCGGGCCCATAGTCCCCGCTGGAAGAATGCCTAGTATAATTTTCGCGAAGACGTCTTCACCGAGTACTAGGCGAACTGGCGCAGTAATATGGAAGCCCGGATCTGCAAGTTTTAGGTTAGAGTAGGATCCGGCGATTGTAGCGTCGAGACTAGATACCGGCGTTCGTCCCTCAAAGTTCTTAATGGCGACCGCATGCGTCGTTACTATTGCCGATTGACCGTGTTGGCCTCGCAGTTTAAGGAAGTAGCCTCGTTGGTTGGTGACTTCCGTTACACCCAAGCGGAGTTCCTGCGCGAGGTCCAACGCAATCAAAGAGGTCATAGCGCACGGGTCGATAAGTGCGCGGATCAAGTGGAGGCGCCCTCCTGCCTCGATCTTCACTACCGCGGTTGGTGCCACTGGCGTCAAGCATTGAAGCGCGTATGTTGCTCTTTGTGGATTCGTTGCTAGCCCACTTCGGAAACCGCTTCTCATTGGGCGGTGGAATGCACTCGATTCCACTCTCCCATGTGGGCGCGGACGGTTTCGCCGACGTCGTGGTTGTGTTCGCTGCCAAGTGAGAGGAGGTCGGTGTTCTGTTGACGAGTCGTGCGCTTTTCGGCTGCGTCGTCGATATGTAGTAGTGTGTGGTGAGACTCCTGGGTGCCGTAGCCCGAAATACAGGACAAAGCCTGATTGGGTGCTTATTGCCGCAGAACCTGCACGTTAGGGAGTATCTCACCGCCTCTGTACGTTTGCGCATTGCCGAGTAACGAGTCATTTTTTCTGCAAATAATGTTATTCCGATCAGGTTAGGAATATGGCGCAAGACAAGAACATTTTGTGTTGACGAGCAATATAAATGGGTATTAAGTACGTTTTCAATCTCAAAACTTCTAATATTTTATCATTCTTGCATAGTTTTGATCTTGCTGACGTAAACATTCGATAGTGTTATGACCCCTTAATGATTGACGAGTGAACTGATCGTGTGCAGCTCGCTTTACGTTTGGATCATAAGTGTCGACAGGGTTGCATGGCCGAATTGTTGGTTGCTTACCTAAGGGTTAATATTGCCAGAAGATTCACCTATTACAGCATGCAATTTATGGTATTTTTGGAAATAAATTTTTTATGCTCAAAAAAGAATTAGACCAGTAATGTTAACTTACAGGCCAGCGATAATGTAATGTGAGGAGTTTATTTGATTTATTTAAGTATAATTTTCGGATTACATGCAATTTTCTGAACCAGTTTTAGCGAAAGTTTGCGCAAACTTGGCCATTGCCATTCACAAACCACGAGGAACCTTAACCAGTATCGCAAGTGTAAGTTGCAGAACAGTTTTTTTTCTTTTATTTATTTAGATGGTGCAGTTAAAGTTGAAAAAATTCGGTGATTAAGAAAGTGTAACAATGAATGAGAGTGGAGTAAAAAGATGGATTATAGTGAAGGCGGCGGACATGTAAGCATTATGCATTTTAATTTATCTTAATAAAATTTAATTACTCTTTTTTGACAGTTAAAGGTGTTCTCGAAATTTATAAAGAAAATTAAGCGAAATCGATTCGCGTATATCGAACCGAAAAATTCCGTCCGGTGAGCAATATAATTATCTCCGAAAGATTCTGCCTTATCCTGTATTTCCCCGAGAAAAATTCACTAGAAAATTTGTCATCCGTGCATAGTAAATAGCATGCGTTTATGCGACGAAATTTATAATTTTGCAAATTGTTATTCGCAAATTTGCAAATAATACACGCGTATAACCTTAAGAATAAACGAAGAAGTATAGGTAAATGTTATTTAACCCGCTTAAAGAAAGATTTACGATGCCCTAAACTGCACTACGCACCTTAAAATGGAGCAACCGAGTTCCCCTAAATTGCACCACTACCCTATAGAAATCGATTCTATGGTTATCAAAAGTGCAAACAGCTAAACACAAATAAACAAAAGATGTCACTTCCGGCTGAGCAAGCATTGAAAGCGGACGGCTTTTTCTGAGTGCGCTAATAATAAAATACTTTTTCATAGTGAACCATCTTAAAGTTTAGTTTGTGTTAAAATTTTGTGTGTAAACACTAAGAATAGTGTGTGGTGACTTAGAGGAAATCTGAGGTAAGCTGTATCGTGCTTATTTTACCTTTTTATTTGTGATCTTAAATTTAACAAAACTACGGGTGTGCAAGCAAAGTGAAGCGTGGGCTTCACGGCAATGTAGGTGACGCCATGGCGTCAGAAGACGATGGGGAAAATGGTGGTAAGGCCGATAAGGCGCCGCCAAAAAACAATAGATACAAAAGAAAAAAAAATTCTGAAAGTGAAAGTGAAATGCGTTTTTTAAATAATGAAAATCTAATGATAGATGAAATAGCGGAAAGTACAGTTTCATGTGCGGCAAATTTTACAACAAAAAATACCAACGAAATTACAGTTACCGAAACCACAGCTATATCAGGCGATCGGTTTAGCAAAGATGATGCGAGAAAAGAAACGGTGCTTTACCCAGCAAACCATAAGGGCAAAGCAAGTGTGCTTTTCGACACATCACAAGCAGAAAATGTGCAAAATAAAAGAGTACGTAATGGGTTGTACTTATGGGACAAAATTAAAATCTTTGATATTGAGGGTATTGATGAAATTAGAGCCATAGGTATTACGCTCTATAGAGTGACTTTTGAAAATGTGCTCTTTGCAAATAGATGTGTTAAAAATGAACGCTTAAAAGCCAGCAGTATTAAAATTTTCATTCCTAGAAACTATATAGAAACGTACGGAATTATCAGAGGTATACCAACCGAGTACTCCGATACGGAAATAAAAGACTGTATAATATCTGAAGTAAAAATCAACTCAATTCAAAGACTGACGAGAAGGGAAAATAGGGAAAGTGATAGCAGGGTACCGACTTTATCCGTGAAAATAGGCTTCTCTGGAGACAGAATTCCGAAGAGTGTTGTTTTGAATCACACGATCTTGGAGGTTCAATATTTCATTCCTTTGATTAGACAATGCTACAAGTGCGGCAGGCTAGGCCACACTCAGAAAGCATGCAAATCTGAAAAAAGGTGCCTTAAGTGTGGGAATAGGGAAGAATGCACAGTCAGATGTGATTCTTTAAGATGCATTTTGTGTGGCGATACGTCGCATATTGCTTTTGATAGAAAAAATTGCCCTGCTTGGGAAAAAGAAAATCTGCTTATAAAAACCATGACTCTGAAGAAGCTAACTAGAAGAGAAGTATTAAATGAATTCAAATCGGAGTGGGGAAACAGGTTTGAACTCCTCAGTGAGGAACATTTCCCGGAACTTACAATGCAACAAAACCCCTTCAAAGACAAACAAATTGAGCTCAACAAAATTTTTACCCCTACCCCCTATGCGAATATAGTTAGGCGATATAGACCAAAAGCAATTAGCCCGGAGAAAACTCAACAAATTAAACCACCACGACAGGCAAGGGGCCACTCCAAAGATCAACAAAATGGAGTAGCATTCAAGCATCCGAATCTACATATTGTATCTGAAATAGAAAAAATTACAACTGAAATGACCAAGTTTGCCAGAGACGCATTCCGAAAGGTAAACTTTCCAGCAGGCGTCAATGCCTTTGTGCATTTCAATGACAGGCTAAAACAAAAATTCGTAAGTTTGGATAGTGGAGAAATGGATACAGGGGAAAACGAAGAAGTAGAATCTCAAAATGAAAGTTCTACAGTATAACGTACAGTCTTTAAAGAAAAACTCAAATAATATTGATTACTTTCTAAATAGTAAAAATTTTGATATAGTGTGTCTCAGTGAAGTTTTTTCACATGATGACACGGACAAGAACAAAAACATCTCAAATTTTAACTTAATAGAAAAAAAAGGTCTGACGGGTATGGGGGAGTTGCCATAGCTCTCCGAAAATCTATAAGATTTAAAATAGTTAATTTTCACTTTGATCATGACATCTGTGTAGTTCAAACTAAAAACCTAACAACAAACTTAGTAATATGCTCTATTTACTGCGAACCATCCATGAATATAGACACGTTTAAAGCGGTAATCACTAACCTTTTCCGGAAGCTCGAAGCCTACGGAAACGTGCTCATACTCGGTGATTTCAATGCCCGTTCCAAAAGGTGGGGCGATACAATTGACACGGCGAAAGGCAAATGGCTGAGTGCCTTCACTGACGAATCAACTTTTGATTGCATTAACAGTGGGGCTATGACATTCAAACCCAATCTAAATGATGGAGCTAGAGGGTCTGTATTAGATTTAACTTTCACTAATATCACTTCCACAATAAATTGGGAGGTTTTACAATGTCATCTGGGGGGTAGCCATCATTACCCTATTTCTATAAACATTGATTTCACTGAACCTAAAAGTATAAGTTTTCTTTCAAAAAAAAAACTGCTGGCTTCGCTAAACACGGTCCCTTTGATGAACACAACAAGAGAAATCACCCAAACTATCTCTGAGGAAATAAGTAAGGCTACCGTTACGCTAAACAATAGAACACCCAAAACATGGTGGCATGAAGACCTAAATAAGCATTTTAGATTGTATTCTGCAGCAACAAAAAAGTGCAACAGATATCCAACGCTGGAAAATCTCAAAAAGGCTTCTGAATACAAAGAAATCTGGAAGAAAGAGGTACAAAAAGCAAAAAGTAATAACTTCAAGGAAAGTGTCGACACACTTAACAGACAACCAAACACTAGAGAGGCATGGAGATTCATAAATAACCTGAAAGGTAACCCCAAAAAGACCAATAACCCTCAGTGGGTGGAGGAGTCGAACCCCCTTTTTTTACAACACCTGAAGGATCAGGTTATGATAAATAACTTTCCTACTAGGTCTCCAATTTTGACTAGACATAGCGAAAAGGTGCCAAACTTTAGTTTGAGTGAACTCAATCTAGTTCTCAAAAAAAAGACTAAAAGATCAGCGGCTGGCCATGATAGGATCACATATGAAATGATCCGAGCATTGTCTGAAAACGCGAAAGAAAACCTTCTAAGAGCTTTGAATGATTCTTTTCAGACGGGGCATATTGATGATCAGTGGCGAATCATCAAGGTCGTGCCGATACCCAAAGCTGATAGGGACCGAAGTGATTGTAGGAACTATAGACCGATCTCGCTAATACCTGTGATTCTAAAAATTATAAATCTGATGATTAAAGCGAGAATCGACCCATGTTTAACAGAAAATGAGATCCTCCCTAATAGATGCTTTGCCTACCGTAAAGGTGGATCCGCATCAATGTGTATAAACGAAATTTTACATAACATAGCAGTATATAAGGATAGAGGCCTAAAGGTAGCAGCTGTGGTCGTTGACATTAGTAATGCTTATAATTGTGTCCCCACATTAGCACTAGTGAAGATATTGGAAGAATGTGGTATAAATAGCAACTACATCACGTGGATTCAATCTTTCCTACAAGAGAGAATCCTTCAGTTAGGAAAAGACTCTGTCACCATATATGATGGTCTGCCACAGGGCAGCTGCCTCTCCCCTCTTCTTTTCAATGTTTACACAAAATCATTGCACGACCTTGATGATAACTCCGCTGATATCTACCAGTTTGCTGATGACTTTCTCATCATAACATATGACAGGGATTTCCAAACCATGACACGTAAACTCGAACTTAAACTTAAGGCCTTTGTGGAAGAATGCAATAAATTAAACTTAACGATCAATGTGCAAAAAACCAAATCAATCCATTTTGCTAAGGCTAGTAAGAAACAAATCCAGATCATAATTGAAGACCACCCAATAGAACAAGTAAACGAAATCAGCTTCATAGGTCGCACATTAAAAGCCTCCCTTGTAGTAACTTCACACTACAGTAAACTTATTGAGAAGGCAACCAGCAATGTTAAGCTTGTTAAAATGATTACGTCGGTGAAAGCAGGTGTTACACCTAAGATCGCAGTAAATTTATATAAAAGTCTTGTCAGATCGAAAATAGAGGTAGCCCGATCCACGACACACGACCTACCTAAAGTTACGTACAACAAAATTAAGGCATTTCAAAACAGCACTCTACGCAGATGCTTAGGACTAACTCCCTCGACTCCAACCCATAATATCTATGTGCTGGCTAATGAATTCGAACCTAGGGAAAGGGAAAAACTTCTCACTGCCCGCGAATTACTGAAACTTAAATTTATTAACAGCAGTGTATATAATAGCGTTACTTACCATAAACAATTAAACTCTAGTTACTCAGCAATATACTATCACTTCAAAGAGATCTTTGATAACGTAAGCACGGATACTAGATTTGAAAAAAAACAAACAACTCAAAATAATAAGTAATACTCTATCGAGGAAAAAAGCTGATGTGCCCAAAGAGCAATTAAAATCTGAATTTAATAGCCTAGTACATAGCTATAGAGAACGAAATTTTACAATCTTTGCTACGGATGCCTCGGGGGGAGAAAGTTCGATGGGGTGCGGTGTCTATAATGCAACGCAGAAACAAAAATTCCTTTTTAGCATAAATTTTAAGACTTCTTCAGCTTTCAGTGAAATGTGGGCAATCGCAAAAGCTATTGAGTTAGCAGTAGAGGACAAACTGGAAAAAATTGTCATTTTCACTGATAGCTTAACGTCTTGTCACCTTGTGGAGAAGAATGAATCAAATAATTATCTAGCAGCTAAAATTCATAAGTCACTCAACAGCAGCAATCTGGTGTGTGAAATAGTTTGGGTCCCAGGACACGTTGGCATTGAGATCAATGAGATAGCAGACGATTTGGCTAAATGGGCAGTAAATGTGGGTGCTCCTTTGAAAGTTAAACTCACACCTGAAGAGGCTTTAAGGCAAATAAATGTGTCAATCAAAGATGAATGGAATATGCAGTACAAAAGGATCTCACATGAGAAAGGCAAGAGGTTCGCGGAATTCTTCCCAGAGATTCCTAACAAACCCTGGTATCACAATTCCACACTTAACGCAAGAGAGATTAAGACTATAAATAGACTGTTAACCGGACACACCTACGACAATGTATATTTAAACAGAATTAGAGTAGTTAGTACAAACATATGTGAAGAATGCAATATAATTGACGATTATACCCACATGATCTTTGCTTGCCACAAATATAGTAGTATAAGAAATAAGTACGATGCAGTCAAGAACCACAATGATTGCACTGATATATTAAAAAAACGAGACCCTACAACTCTCAAAGATTTATGCAACTTCATAAAAGAAGCTGAATTAGAAATTTAAAAACAAGGGGAAAAAGAACGTTTTAAAGATACATAATAAAATATGTACACATTGACAAATTTGATTACCAAATTAAACTTTATAACTTTTTTCACCAAATAACTCAATTTTTATAAATTGTATCGTTTTAGTTAAACATCAGAAGGGGCCTACGCTCGATCTGCATAACTTTTTTGTTTTGTTTGTTATTTTTGTTTTGTTTGTTTGATTTATTATTTGCTCATTGCACACGTCGGAAGTAGGCATTCTATCTTGCCTAATACGTTTTTTGTATATATTGGACTGAATATACTGTCTAACAAACCATTATACACTGCCTAACAAGGCATTCGTTTTTTGTACACAACAAATCGCTATCATCTGAAGAAAATCACAACAAACGCTACAATATCCTAAAAACTGGGCATCGATTAAGTGCAGGAACACCCCTTCTAACAACACTCATTCGCATCAAGAACGTGAAACTGCTGCACACAAAAACAGAGCAAAATTCTGAACCTTGGAGCAACTCACACATTTTTTGATTACCCTGGCCATATCCGGTGGACTAGCCCGGCCATAACAAACGCTACAACCCAAAAAAAAAAAAAACAAAAGATGTGCATTAGTTTGTTTATGACGAAAAAGTGATAAGTGCAATGTTTAAAACACATAAAAATGTGAAGTGATGGACATGATACAAAAAATAAATATTTGTATCATGTTTGAAATAGGAAATGGTCCATGATTGGAAACCTCAGTGTGTGTAGTGTGTTCCACAAATCCAAAAGAGGTAATAATATATAATTCTGCTATGTGGTCATGCAATAGGTTTCCAGAAAAAAACGACGAATAACTAAATATGTTGGGTGTAATGTCCATTAAAGTGTATAGGTGCGGTTAAACGGCTAATGTTAAGCAAATTGTATGCAATAAGTGTCTACCCAGTCTCCGTTTTGTATCGCAGAAAGTTGCCGACCTTGTTTTCATTTTTGTGGCAACTTTTAGTTGAATGCTACAGTTGCCCCGGTGTAAAACGGTCTGTCAACTAATGCCTTCCAACAATTCCAAGTCCCCCCAATTAACTTTAGCAGAACAGTGTATAAATACGTGCATATACATAAATCAACCTCGTGTGAAAATTCGCAAAATTAAAAGGGGCGTTTCCACAAAAATGTTACAAAATCTGATGTACTCGCTGGTATCGTTTTAAACCTAGTTGTTTGTTAATTAAAAAAAAAATAAAAATAACATATATCTCTCAAAGATGGATAAAACGGATGAAGATGAATCAAATAAATTTAGTTTACTGGCTATTGTATTGGACACTAATCCATCCCAACGAATGGTGCGACAAAAACCTGGTTGAACATGCCCACATAGCAGTACCATAAGGGTCAGTTTAGATCCGGAACATCAGGACATGAGCGCTTGTTTCTGGAGCTTCGAATTTCTAAATTGGTGAGTCATTTACTTGTGATGTGATGCATGCGCATATACATAACTGATATACCTAAACAATATTATTATTATAATTTATGGACGTGAGAGTATAGACGTGTTAGGGTGCATGAAATGATTACGGATCAGGATTGCAAAATCATCAATTAGATCTTGTTTCTTTAGAAGATGTCAGCTCATTGGTTTCTGTAGTGTTGCCTGGTAGTAGAACTAGTTTGACCAGTGGTCTTGTTACCTGTCCCTTTTCGGTCATAAGATCAACTACCCGCACTCGGTTGTCGGAACCTGGGTGTAACTTCACCACTCTACCCAGTCTCCACTCGTTAGGCGGCAGGTTGTCCTCCTTTATGACGACAAGGTCTCCAAGTTCCATGTTCTTTTGAGAGAGCTTCCATTTAGTTCGCTTTTGCATTTCCGTCAGATATTCTGCCTTCCATCTTCTGCAGAAGTGCTGATGCAATGCTTTTAGCTTCTGCCACCGGTTAACTATCGATGCAGGGTTCTCGTTTACATCGATTTCTGGTGGGGCTAATATGTGTCCACCGATTAAGAAGTGACCTGGAGTGAGGGGCTCCAGGTCAGTTCGCTCATTTGAAGCTGGGCTCAGAGGTCGTGAGTTGAGACACGCTTCAATTCTACATAAGAGCGTTCTGAGTTCCTCGAAAGTATATTTTCATCCTGAGGCTATCTTTTTAAAGTGAGTTTTAAAACTTTTTACTCCTGACTCCCACAGACCCCCCATGTGCGGCGCCGCAGCCGGTATAAAATGCCAAGATAGTGCTTGATGGGTAAACTTTGATAGAGCGTTTGTGCGAGCATGAGCTATGAAGGCTTTGAGTTCTGTTTTAAGTGCTCGTGACGCTCCAACAAAGTTTGTCCCGTTGTCTGAATAGACGTTTTTTGGGCACCCTCGTCTGGCAACGAATCTGTTAAAAGCTGGTAGAAAGGAAGCTGTACTTAAGTCGCCTCTAAATGGATGGCTTTGGTAGAAAAGCAAACAAACAGGCAAACATAACCTTTTGAAAGACGGCAACCGCGCCCGCGGTAACTTTTTATATCAAAAGGCCCAGTGAAATCCACTCCTGTGTTGGTAAATGGCCGTGAATAGGTTGATCGTTCCTGTGGAGGAATACCCATCAGCTGATTTTGCGAGCGTTTCTTAAAGATCGTGCAGATCTTGCAGTTGTAGATGATGGACCTTATCATAGTTTTGACCTTCGGCATCCAATACTGCGTTCGGATGAGCATTAGTTGGTTTTCACCGTGGATTGAGACATCATGGACGAATTGGAAAGTCAGACGTGATAACCTGCAATTATACGGAAGGATGATTGGGTAATGTTCGTTGTATGCCAGATCGAGAGATGCGCCAAGACGACCACCTGTTCTCAATACACCGTTCTTGTCGATGAAAGGATTTAAGGGCAATATTTCGCTTTTCGCATCGATCGGTCCTCCAGATTTTAATTTCGCGATTTCCAGTCCGTAGTGTTGCTTCTGAGAGATTGTTATTAAGCGGGTTGTCGTTGCCTTAATTTCATCGGCTGAAATTAAGTACGATTCCGGCTGAATTGAAGCTTTTGTTTTGGGATGAGTTCTTTGAGAGAATCTTAAGACGTAAGATATTACTCTCAAAGCTCTTGGTAAGCTAGAAAATCGGTCAAGAATATCATTTGTGTTGTCATTCGTTGTTGTTGTATGAACGTTCACCCGTTTCTCTTCAATGTTTGTGGTAAAGTCTGTGTCTTGTGTTGGCCATTTTTCTTTATCTTCTTGCAGCCAAGAAGGTCCCTGCCATCACAACGAATTGTTGACCAATTCTTGCGCTAGTATGCCTCGGCTCGCCAAGTCTGCGGGATTTGTTGCTGAGTCCACGTGGTGCCAAACAAGTTTCCCACTTTGTCGATTATCTTGGTAATACGATGGGCTACAAATGTAGACCACGAACATGGGGGTTTGCGGATCCAGGCCAAAACAATAGTGGAATCAGTCCAAAGGTGTATCTGCAAGTGGCCTAAGTCGAGATTATTGATGACCGATTCGATGATTTCTGCCACCAATACCGCCCCGCAAAGTTCTAATCGAGGTAAGGAAATTGTTTTTACTGGTGCAACTCTAGTTTTTGCCAACAGCAAATTGACAAAAGTGCGTTTGTCTCGTTCCACGCGCAAGTAGACTGCAGCCGCGTATGCCTTTTCGGATGCATCACAAAATCCATGAATTTCGACTTTCTCCGTTGGCGAGAATTCTACCCATCGAGGAATACGTATGTTGTTGATTTCGTTGTAGTTTTTGGTGAAAGTCTGCCATCTGTCTAATGTTGTTCGAGATACATTCTCATCCCAGTCGGTACCCTCTAACCAGATGTTTTGCATTAGTATCTTCGCAACAACAATTATCGGTGCTAGCCATCTAAGTGGATCAAAAAGTTTGGCGATATCTAAGAGTATCGATCTCTTTGTAAGATTCTCGTGGTTTTCGATAGACTTGGCTATAAAATAGAATTGATCAGAGAGAGCATTCCATCTTATACCAAGCGCTTTCACGCTGCTAGTGTCCTCGAACTCCAGAAAATCTTCACTCAACAGATGTGATTTTTGAATGCCTTGTAGTATTTGTCTCTTGAGCTAATAGCGTACTTATAACTTTCTTTCGAATACCGCCTAAAATTATTTGGGGATAGATTTCTCCACCTAAAACAAGATCGACTTGCTCGTTTATGAAGAACCTTTTATCCGCCAAGACAAGGTCTGGAAAAGCTTGCTGCGTGAGTGCGCTGATGTGGCACGTTGGCAAATTTCCAGTAAGTCTGGGGCACCGAAATTGCGCATATGGAAACTGTGCATTTAGACATTATTTCGGTTTCAACCGAAACTGTGCATGTATGCTTTATTTCGGTTTTTACCATATGCATTATTTCGGTTTTAAACCGAAACTGTGCATGTATGCATTACTTCGTTTTTTTTCATATGCATTATTTCGCTTTTAAAACGAAAGTATGCATATGCATAATTTCGGTATTTTCTCATATGCATTATTTCGGTTTTCAACCGAAACTGTGCATGTATGCATTACTTCGGGTTTTTCATATGCATTATTTCGGTTTTCAACCGAAACTGTGCATGCATGCATTATTTCGGTTTTTGTTATATGCATTATTTCGGTTTTCAACCGAAACTGTGCATGTATGCATACCTTCGTCTTTCACATATGCATTATTTCGGTTTTCATCCGAAACTGTGCATGTATGCTTTATTTCGGTTTTAGCCATATGCATTATTTCGGTTTTGAACTGAAATTGTGCATGCATGCATTATTTCGGTTTTTGTTATATGCATTATTTCGGTTTTCTAACGAAAGTGTGCATATGGATAATTTCGTTTTTTCTAATATGAATTATTTACTTCTACTTAGTAAGGGTTTTAATCCCTAAGCGCGGCTGAAAGTCGCCTACGCAGAGAAAAGTTCTGCGAAAAAATACGTCCGCCCTTCTTTTCCGGCAATACAGAAAGGAGAATTCTACTTAGTAAGGGTTATAATCCCTAAGCGCGGCCGAAGGCCGCCTACGCAGAAAGAAGTTCTGCGCAAAAGTACTTCCGGCCCCCTTTTCCGGCAACACAGAAATGAGAATTCTACTTAGTAAGGGTTATAATTCTTAAGTGCGGCCGAAGGCCGCCTACGCAGAAAGAAGTTCTGCGCAAAAATACTTCCGGTCCCCTTTTCCGGCAACACAGAAAGGTGAATTCTACTTAGTAAGGGTTATAATCCCTAAGCGCGGCCGAAGGCCGCCTATGCGGAAAGAAGTTCTGCGCAAAAGTACTTCCGGCCCCATTTTCCGGCAACACAGAAAGGAGAATTCTACTTAGTAAGGGTTATAATCCCTAAGCGCGGCCGAAGGCCGCCTACGCAGAGAGAAGTTCTGCCAAAAATACTTCCGCCCTTCTTTTCCGGCAACACAGAAAGCAGAATTCTACTTAGTAAGGGTTATAATCCCTAAGCGCGGCCGAAGGCCGCCTACGCAGAAAGAAGTTCTGCGCAAAAATACTTCCGGCCCCCTTTTCCGGCAACACAGAAAGGAGAATACTACTTAGTAAGGGTTATAATCCCTAAGCGCGGCCGAAGGCCGCCTACTCAGAAAGAAGTTCGTTTTCATGTATGCACTATTTCGGTTTTTGTCATATGCATTACTTCGGTTTTGAGTCGAAACTGTGCATGTATGCATTAATTCGGTTTTTGTCATATGCATTATTTCGGTTTTGAACCGAAACTGCGCGTGTATGCATTACTTCGTTTTTCTCATATGCGTTATTTCGGTTTTCAAACGAAAGTGTGCATGTATGCATTATTTCGGGTTTTTCATATGCATTATTTCGGGTTTCAAACGAAAGAGTGCATATGCATAATTTCAGTTTTTCTAATATGCATTATTGCGGTTTTCAACCGAAACTGTGCATATATGCATTATTTCGGTTTTTTTCATATGCATTATTTCGGTTTTCAACCGAAACTGTGCATATATGCATTATTTCGGTTTTTTCGTATGCATTATTTCGGTTTTTTTCATATGCATTATTTCGTATGCACAGTTTCCATATGCACAATTTCAGGGTGCCGTAAGTCTGGGTAAAACTAACATCATCGCTTCTATCGAAATCAGTGGATCAATGGGTGACCTAAGTTGAACTGAGCATGATTCTTTCACCTGCGCAGAAACCGTATTGTTGATGCCCGAAACTTGGGCATGCATTTTTTTGGTCGGCAGGTTTATTCTGCGTCTGAGCCTTTCCGTAATGAAAGAACACTCAGAGCCCGAATCAATTAGTGCTCCCGCTGAGAAATTCGTGCCATTAAAATTAATGTCTACACGAGCTGTACCCAATAATACACCTTTGCTTGTGTTAGCGTGATGTGTTTTTACCTTATTAACAGTTTTGCCTTTGCATTTTGTAGACTCGCGTCGCATTTGAGCCTGTCTGGATGTGGACGCTGAAGTATCCAAAGGTTCAGAAATGTCATTTCTAGTTGTTGCCTTTGGAGGTGCTGTTTGAACGTGTAGGAGAGAGTGATGTCGAGAATGGCAAGTGGCGCAATTGAACGAACTAGTGCACTTCGATACCAAGTGGTCAAAGGCGAGACAGTTCAAACAACAATTATTGTTTTTTACGAAAGCAACCCTGTCTTCTACCGATAATTTGCGAAACCTTGGTCACAGATGCATCTTATGTTCGTTACTCTGGCACATTTTGCACATATATTTAGCGACACTTGTTTGAAATGCGCCAAGTCTCTTATGCGAAAGTTCAGAGGAATGCTTATAGTTCGGAACCTTTGGTGGTTTTGAAGCCGTGATTCCTCTTAAACCTGAGACTGATTCTAGCGTTTGGAACCTATTAGAAAGGAATCGATCCATATCTGTCCACTTGGAAATGTCAGTTTTATTCTCTACCGATTGTTCCCACAGCGAAAGTGTCACCTCAGGCAGTTTTGTAGAACATAAGTACGTTACTATTGGGTCCCTATTTGAAATATCGATCTGATGGCTTTCTAAGGCAGATATGCAATTGTTGATATCCCTTTGCAACATTTTTATCGATGTTCCACATTCAGTTTCGACCGCCTTCAAATTGAAGAGAATCTTCAATTGCGTATTGACAAAGATTCTCTTGTTTTCCTACCTATCACAGAGATTCTTCCAGGCTGTGTTAAGGCCTTCATTGGTTAAGGGACCCTTGCTAACAATCTCCTTGGCCTCACCCTGTGTTTTCTGTCTAAGGTGATATAGCTTCTCTACTGGTGTAAGCCGTTTATTCAAAATATAAATGGCCGTGAACATGTCCCGAAAAGTTGGCCCTGTCAGGTAATCACCTTTGAATACGTCTGTATCGCAGGGTGGGAGATGTATGTTGTTTGAACGAGTTGACATGTCCTCGTTTTCTTTTTCTATTTTTTCTAACCTATCACACAGATCGTTTATTTTCGACATGCAGCGCAAGAAAGCTGAGCAGCTCGTTTTATTTTTTTTCTTATTGCCTTCAGATCCTTTGCAGAAAGTGACTCGGTTATTAGAAGCTCGTCAAATAGAGCTTTGGCTTTATCCCAAAGGGTTTTCAGGTCAGCTTGCTGAATTCTCAGCGAGTATATTGAATGCTCATTGCTGGGCGTACTCATAAAATCTATATCAAACTCTATGACGGAGTCGGTTAAGCGATTGAATGTCTCCATATTGAATTTTAATCTGTAAATACGACCTTACTAAAACTTTAAAGTCTTCGATTAGGATAAGCAATACAACAAAAGCAGAATTTCCCAACGCAAATGATCAAAAAGTACAGAAAAACACTACTAAGAACCCCAATTGGTTATAGCAATGGTACCAATAGAATTTTCCACCAAGTCAATCTCAGGTTTATAAATTAAAGTATGCAACCAATTTACTTTATATATGTATGTATGTATGTTTATTAACACCGGTTCAATATATATAAAAATGTATGTATGTATGGATATGTATTTAATTATTGCTCGCCAAACACAATGTCTATATGTATGTATGTAATTTTGTCAAAAATTGAACGCCCGTAAGATATTTTATTTTCCGCAATTATATGGAGCGCCTTTATTTTTTTTTAATATTTATGGACAACTCTATGTGCATATATGAACAACTCAAAACGTGAAAGTGATTTTGTGAATTTAATTTGCTGAAGTGCAATATAGCTTCTAAGCTAGCGCAAGTGCCGTGAAAAAGTGAGGTTATGAGAACCGAACCAAAAGATGCAGTGTTGTTGGTGAATTAACACAAAATGCAAGCAACAAACGAATGTAAATGACTATGCAGAATTTTGTTTATGTTAATTAATTATATTGCTATTAATCACCGAAATTTAAATTGTCGCAAGTTGTTTCACGCTTATTTAAAATACACTGCAACTTTTTGAAATGGCCGTAGCGCGCACTTTTGAATATATGTATGTTTTTGTGTGCTAACAAGCAAATGAAATATTTTAATGCACTTAAGTCTCTTACTTCACAAAATCACTTTGGTTATTTAGTTTTTCACAATTTATAGTTTTGTGGCGCGAATTTTACACACAAAAAAATATAGTGCAGTGAAATTTTTAACCACATACCTTATTTTGTCGTTTTAATACAGGTGTCGAATTTGCTAAAAGCTGCTGTATGTTTGTAATTGCTGCAGGTTTTGAATCCTTGAACTGCTCCTGTGCTTAACGTCACTGATTTTCGAATGAGCTGTGTGGAGTGGTATTCTCGCGGATAAGCCTGTCCTGATTGACGTACAACTTGTTGGTGCTGGTGAGAAAACGTTTTCAGTCTCGGCGACAAAGGACCATATTCATCGGCGCAACGCTTGAGCAAGATTTGGATGCACGTTCGCACCGATGATTAATTTAATGAGAAGAAATTAAAATCTTGGTATTAGTATAACTAAAAATAATAGTGTTTATTCACTTAAGTAATTTGTGTATATATATATATATATATATATATATATATATGTACATATATTTGAATTGCAGATTACCTTGAAATACAAAAGCTGAGCTTGGTGGCTGGATGACGTCCTCTTCTTCGAATACTCGCAAAAGAAGTAAGTAAACCGTTCTTGATTTTAGTTACGGTTGCTTGTCGAACTGTTTATTTGACGAAAGTTTGATTATTGCAGATTTAACAGAGTAGTTAACAGCTCGACAGCAACCATAATAATTAAGTTATGTTATACATTAGGGTGGGTCGAAAAATCTGTAGCAAATTTAGGCCGCTGGCCTAAACACAATTACATCTGCAATAAATACTTAATTACATTGTTTTCTAGCATTTAACGTGCTTCATGTATTAAAGAATTCATGGAAGTTTAGCTTCCACCAAGCACCACCCTAAGTAATATTTTTTTTTTTTTTTTGTAGCATGTCTATACTAAAAAGCGAACTATATAATATGTGGCTAAGCAGTGATCGGACTTAAAAAAATGCTGTGAGTCTGGAAAAAAATGTGGTAGATCTCAGGTTTTGGATCAAACTTTGTACAAAAATTAAAGAAATGCTCTAAGGTTTCACCTAAATTGCAAACTTTTTAATTATACTCTAAAAAAAAAATAAATTTTGGTAGAACAAAGTGCTAGATTGAAGTTGCTAAAAATTGCATTGAGTTTTGGCAATTCTTTCCTTTTCAGTGTAAAGCGGTTCACAGTGGTTCGGATCGCAAATCTAGCTGGACGAAACTATTTAAACAAATACTCGTTGATGGATCTTTACACCATTTCTTACCTTGGGGATTTTTGGGTCGCTGATTACGAATATGAAGTCACTTATCAAAAATTCAAAATGGCGGATCCAATATGGCGGACGAAAATTAAAAAAAATCGGTAGATTTCTATGAAACTGGGTATCTGGGGGTTTTCTGGCTCGCTGATTACATATCTAAAGTCATTTACCAAAAATTCAAAATGGCGGATCCAATATGGCGGACGAAAATTAAAAAAAAAATCGGTAGATTTCTATGTAACTGGGTATCTGGGGGTTTTCTGGGTTACTGATTACGAATCTAAAGTCATTTACTTAATTTACTTTATTTACTTCTGAGCGAGCATTTTCATCAGATATTTCTTTCAATTTACTAATCACATAATCACGGACACCTTGTTGTCTTTTAAAAGTTTCAGCAACACTTCTCCAAATGTCAAACAACTCACTTCTTAAGATTTTCTTTACCATGACTAAAATTTAAGATCACAGCAAGAAACACAAATAAATTTCAGAAAAAAATTTATAACAGCGCTTAAATATTTGCATGCCTGTTGTATAATTTTTTAATTTCAGGAATCAGAAAATTCGCGAGTTACTATTTTTTTTAACTCTTACATAACCAAAGTTTTTATAACTCCAAGTATTTTTCTGTTTTAACACACGAACAAATGTGGCACGTTACAGAAACCCCCACTTGTGATTTTCCGATTTTGATAATTCTCAAGTATATGTAAACAACGCCTCAGTAAATTTAGATGCACTGAAATTTGCTAATGCTTTCACAAAAATCGCCGCTTTTTTAATTTTCGCTATTAATTTTTTTTTTATAAATCATATATTTAAAAATTTAACGTAATGAAACCACGTTTCCTGTCGAAAAATTTATTATTGAGAAAATTTACTATTTTACAGTTTATTTTATCCTCCCATTCGGCTTTGTTTACTTTTACTTGAGAAATTTCGTCGCCGCCGGGAATGCGGAATCTTGTATTATATCATTCTTGTTGCAATATAGTATTTAGTGTTGGCCAATTTCTGCTCTTAAAATTAAGAAAATTATGTCGAGCAAAAATAAAACTAGGTACTCAAAAACACGAATATGTGGTAGATTTCAGACCTTGTGTGGTAGATGCTCAAAAAAGTGGCAGATCTACCACAATGTGGTAGAAGTGCGATCACTGTGGCTAAGTGAAAACGACACGGAAAAAAGTCTCAACAGTAAAAAAAATATATGTAATAAAATTAAGCTGGAATGTTGTCTGAGGAAGCTATAAAGGCACGAAACAAATAGTACTGCATATTTATCCGACAGCACAATAGCCGAAAAATCTCTCGCGAAAAGGCTATGGAGGATATATTTACCGCTTCGCTCTTGTGCTCAGATCTTTTAATTTCATCTATTTGCAAAAAAGCACTGCATCGTCAAAATTCAAAACCATTAAGCAGAGATGTTGTCAGAGCTGCCTACTTGGCTCAAACCGTGTCGTTTTTGGCCCTATTTTACTTCAAATGGTGCTTAACTTTTCAATTTGGCACAAAGTGCCAAAATGGCACTTTTGAAAAATAGTAATATTTCAATACATTTTTGTGAAATCCTTTGCGTGTACTTCTTTTTCTCAACTAAAATTTTCTAATTTCAATAGTGTATACAACTGGTTTATCTTATTTTGGCATTCGACTTTTGTTTTAGGAATGTGTTTCTAATTTTTATGATAAATGGGAAGAAATAAAAGGAATGACAGCTTTTTGGCATTTTTTTTCTATTTGGCACATTTTGGCACTGTTTTATCCTCAATATGACACTTCATAGCTAAGAATAGTTGGCAACCCTGATAGTACTAACTGGAGTTTTTTCGCTTGCGCGATAGTAGAAGCAGAGAATGTTAATATAATGAGAAGGCGCAAATGTTAAGTAACATTTTTTCAAGTACTAATTAGAAGATATGAGATGCGGGAGTTAACCACTGAGATCAAGGAGTTCGCCACACCAATTTTAACTACCATATTCTATGGTGAAGTGAGAACTTTGTAGCAAATTTACATAAATTACCTGCCGTTGGTGATATATATTTGCAAATTCACGCCGTCAGCTTATGAGTACTGTGGTGCATGCTGCAAAAATGTAGCTTGCTTTTTTCCAATTTTTGCGCTGATTCAAAAACCAGTGGAAAGGGTGGTATTTTTTATTAATTAAATTTTACTTTTATTGTTGTTTATTAAAACATATATCGCTAGCTTAGAGTGAAAAGTTTCTAAGTCCTATTTTAGAAATGTTACAGGAGAGGAAACAAAAAAATTCTTATAGCCGATTTCTTCAAGCATTTCGCAAAACTTTGATTACAACATTTTGGCTGTTTAAAGGAAAGTAAAACTCCATATAGGGATTCGAACTTTATTTAGAGATTTTATGCTATGTATTTTGGCCTTATCGGATTTTCGGTGCTTCTTTTGGACTTTTGGAAAATTTTCGTTTCATTGAACTTAAACGAGAATAAATAATACGAAATACCTCCATCCTTTTCGATACAATACATTTTTAATTTCTCTAGCCTCCTGTATCAAAATATGAGTTTTCATAAAAAGTGGACTTGGAAACTTTTCAATCTAAGCTAGCGAAATGGACATAAGTACGTATATAAGTATTTTTGCATATGCAAATCCATCATTCAATGAAAATATTTATAGCTACATATGAGTAGTCCAATTGCAAAGTGCGCTATATAAATTTTTTATATTTTTAGCTTTTGGTAGGTAACGTACCAGTATTTAAAGTACTTTCATGTCCACTAAAAACCCAGTGCAAAATCTTTCTTTATTCTAAAAAAATAGCATCAAATATTAACTACTCTTACAAAGTCGTTATCATACTTATTTATACACTGAAAACTGATTTGGGATGCATGGATTGTTAATGTTATGTTATTTTACGTTATGCTATGTTATAATGTTATTAAGCTCTTATTTATCCGAATTTTCAGGTAATAAAAACAAGATTCAATTCAGATGTTATTTGTTGTCGTAGTCGTTCTTTTTTTTAATTTATGGCTTACTATCATAAAATCACATAACGCTGTTTGCAAGTGGACTACTCATATGTAATTAGAATTTTTTTTTGCAACAAAGTAAAAGGTAAGTAATTTGCGATTCATAATTCAAGTGTTTGGTAAAAAAAAATTTATAGCAGAACTCATCTGTTTTTTGTAAAATAGTCCTAAATATTAAATTAGGCGAGTGCTTAATCTATGTATCTATGGACCACACTAAAAGCCCCCTTTCATATAAAAATTCGTTTGTGTCCCACCTGTGGACAAACGTTGTCCCACCCGTGACAGAGGAAGTTCGTAATTTTTTTTATAATAAAGCAATAATTTTTGTTGTAGTTTTTGCTTTGTTTGTATTCGTAGTTCTTTGTTTTATTATAAGACATCAAGTTCACACAGAAAAGTGAAAGAAATTCGCAGTTTCCGTAAAATATATCTGCCCCAAAAAGCAGGTTCTTTTTTTGTTGCCCCACCCGTGACAGAAGAAATGACTCAGATTTTTTTAATATAAAAGTAAGCTGGAATTTTTTTCGTATTTTGTAATAACTCATAAAATAGTCGATTAGGAGTAGCTTTGTCAAAATGTAGAATTGTTGAGTACTTTATACTTAAATTTAAAGAAGGAGAATTTGTCTGTATAAATGTCGCACCCATGACGGTGAAATCGCCCATATCATATATGTAATAGGGATGTGCAGTAAATCAATTGAAAGAAAAAACTGATTAATAGAAACATAATTATGTAATTCATCAAAGAATAATAATTTTTGACGAATCAAAGTTAATAATTTATCGATTATTTATATGTTATTAATCAGAATCGAATTAATTTTATTAATCAGAAAACTGATTAATTATAAAACTGAATAATTGCTGATATATATTGTTTTATTTAATAATAGGATAAAAAAATTATAAGTGGCAGATACTTCGACAAGTAA